CTACATTCCTGGTAGGGTTATCAATGGTAAATTTACCATACTAAGTTACCGTGGTAAATTACTAGTATGTTACCATAAATTTATGATGGTAAGTTACCAAATGCTTGCAACCATCATCGGAAATGTTCGTGATGGTTGACATTAACCACCGGTAACTAGAGATTGTACTGTACACATGTAAAAGTCACCCGGGTGACCCGTATATCATCTGTTAATCGAATCAATCAGCAAAAATCAATATATGATTTTAAGCATATGATATTAATAAAAGATCGTTATACGTACGTACTACAGTCAGGGATTTTTCAAATTCGTGTAATGCAGATCGTTTCTCTTTTTGGTAAAAGATCTTCGATTGGAAAATTCTTTGGTACGGAATTTGTACCAATCATTGGCTGTTATTATTTGCCTTAGGGATCCCCACGGATTCCTTGACTACATATTCATAGAATAACTTTTGCAAGAAAATTTTAAAGGTATTGCAGATCATTTATATATCGCGTAAAATACCTGATTGTACTAGACTAAATAAACGTGCATAAGAAATTAGAGTAGTATACCTCTAGTATTTAGAATTATAAATCCACGTAAATAAATGAGATTTGAGCAGCTAATTTGATGGTCATAGAAATTAAATGAGAAATGTGGTAATACAGATGAAGAGCTATTTAAGGGGTTTCAGAATGGTGCATTTTGTAATACTGTAAAATACACAATATCAGGTTAACGATTTCGGAAATGAGCGAAGCTTAAAAAATCAAAATTAAAATCAGAGAATTTTATTTTATTTTTCCGATTTATAATTTAACATAATAAAAATGCTATTGAAAACATCCTACTTATTTTCGAAATGCGTCACTTATTTGTTAATTTTGAAACCCTTTATTATGAATGGTCAAGTAAGTAAATCAAATGAGTGCTTCTGAGACTCTCATTTCATGTAATAAATTTTAGATATTATGCATAGTTTAAGTCATAATTGATAATAAAAATTATCATATGAATATGTGTATTTGGAACTTAATTTGAAAACGAATTCATAAATTGTTTATTTAAAAAAAAAACAAATATGTTAGGCCACGTAAAGCTAATTTTCCGTTTTGCATAACCCGCCGACCCATTTTTTCAATTTTTCAAAAAAAATTTTTTTTTTAAAGTCCCAATTGTACCAATTATTCTATTTTTGCTATCAACTTTATCCGATATCACCCGATAGATATCTTAATATCCCGGAATTCTCCGATAGGCCCGACAGAAAAAAATCTCAGTGCTGATCCAGTTTTCTGATTCCATGCCATGCAAACGAAAAAATTGATTTTGTACAGCCTTATATATGAACATGAGTCTATTAATTCACAATAGATTAAAACCCCGACCTACCGACCCAATTTTTTTGATTCCATGTTAACTTTGCGTGGCCTCACCTATTTTACTTTAGATCAATAATAAATTAAATAAGAAATGAATTATCGTTATTGATCGAGTTGACGCGAATAAAAAACAACTACGTATAATAAATATCAAGGAAATAATACAGTTGGCAAAGTCATTGACAAACCAGCAAAAGATATAGGAAAACGATCATATGGATATACTTCAATTATCTATTAAAAGTAGACAATTAAACATTTAAACTTTAGTACAGTTAACCTCGATATAACAAAGCTCTGGAGCTGGAGGTTTTTCTTTGTTACATCAATATTTTGGTACATCAGGGTTTCTTCGATATAACGAATATATATATATATATATAATTTTATAAAACATTCATTTACATAATGTGCCCTTGACATAACGAAATATATATATAATTTTATAAAACATTCAGTTTACATAATGTGCCATCGATATAATGAAATATATTTATATAATTTATAAAACAATCGGTTTACATAATGTGCCCTCGATATAACAAATATATACCCTATAAAAAATTTTATCCCAATATTTCCATTATTTCTCCGTGGCCTCCGTAAAAATTCCATGAAAATGATACATTTACGGATATCCGTGTTAGGGAGATGAAAATTTCCATGATTTAAGGTTATAAATTCCATGAAAATGAAACATTCATGGAAAAAACATGGAATAATAAACACGGATCAACATTTTTTATAGGGATATATATAATTTATAAATTCATTTTATGTAATGTACCCCAATATAAGAATTTACACCTAAATTACAGTAATAAAATTATAGAATTCGCTTTATACACTATCGATCTATAATAATTCAGACAGTCACTACACGCATAGTTTTATTAAATTAATTAAAGTAAGATAAAAAGCTAACATAAAAAATCATTTTCATATTTTAGTTTTCTTTGAAATATAAAACCTAATTTAATCGGCATATGTTCTTTACATAACTAAATAAATACAAATACATTTAAACTAATTCTGTTATAAATTTCTCTTTTATTAATATCAAACAATGTGCAGCACTATTTTTATTAAAATAAAAAAAATTCTAATCTAAATAAATGATTTAACAATTAAAAAATAAAACACATCTTAATAATTCTGAAACAACAAATACATTTAAACTATTTCCCAATAATCTATACTTTTGAATCAAACTAATATCATCAGAAAATTCTAAATAATTTGATGATTGCATTAATTTGAAATCATTATATAATTTTGGAGCATAATTGTTGTTAATAGAATCAATTATATTTTCATTTTTTCTATTTGGATTTGTCGATAATTGAGATTTCAAAGGAAATGCATGTAATTTAGCAATTTCTAATGGTGTAAAATATCTTAATCCAAGTTCAAGTAATGATTTTGGATTTTCAAAATCATAATCTGTAAACTATAATAAATACTTGATTTTAAATAATAATAAAATAATTATAAAAAATATGCCGTAGTACACTGATCAAAGTACCCCTTTTTGCGTACCCACTCAAAATACCTAGGTATTTTATATAGAATATTTTTTTTAACCGAGGATAATACCTGGGTACTTTGCACGGCATTTTTTATATTACCACATATTGATTTTTGCATTATATATATAAGACCTTACAAAGTACCCTCAATACAAGATGCCCGTCACATATGTTTTTTTTATATTAGACCTCTGGTACTTTGGTCAGTGCACTATGGTAATTTTATATACTAAATACCTCTAAATTTCTAGTTTGTATAAGTGAACCACTTCCAAATATATGATGACTACCGTAAGACTATTAATAATTAATAAATATTTTAGAATAGATTTTATAGATTAAAAATACATAGAAAAATGCAATATTATAATTATACTTTTGTAAAACATGAACATCTTTTATCAGTTGGCCTTACAATATCTATAAAAGAAATTATATAATATAAGAATTTACAAACTTTGATCAAAATTTTATATATACATACCAAATTTAAAATCAAAGCTTTTTAAAATATACTTTTCAGGAACCAGATATTTTTTTAATTCTTTTTCATCCAAGCAATTTTCAATATAGTTACTCAGTTCAAGAACATTAAATTCTAAAGGTTGTTGGCTTTGTTGCTGCTTCCAGTGATAACATTTATTATTATCCTTATTATTCAACATACATTCAAATGGCCAAGATGTATGTATCACTGCTTGTTCAAAATATTTCTGTGGTGTGAATACTTTTTCAGATTTATTAAAATTTTGTATTTTTCGTGCCATCAAATAATATCGTAATCGATCATTTGGAATACCAAATTGCAAAGGTGTTAATAAGCATTCATGAATTTCATAATTCATTAAACATATTTGAGTAATTAATTTTTCTCGAGATTTTGATTTCTAAATTTAAATATACTATATATGAGTTAAGAAAAATTTTTCATAGTATAATAAAAATAAGAATATATTACCTCAAAATTCAAAACATTTTCAAGAAAGATATAATCAGGAGGATTAGATAGTTTGGACAAAACATCAATCAAATGAAGTAATCCCTTTGCCCTTGGATCTTTATCATCTAATCCTTTTCCACCACGTGTATATGGCTGACATGGCGGACTCATTAACCAACAATTTGCATCATATTTCTCAATATTATTAACGTTTAAAAAATCAATTCCTTTCTTAAAATAAATAAAAAATCTTTCAATTAAAAAAAAAAAAACAAAATTGAAAACTTTATAATTTTATAAGAGATACCGTCACAGGAGTTTTGCCAAAATTATATTTGTATGTAGCATTTGCTATAAGATTTATATCAAAACTAGCCACAACTTCTCCGAGAGGACATGCAAGGTTGAATGAATAATGCTGTATAAAAAATTTTTTATAAAAAAAAATTGAATTTAACATTCAATAATTAAATATTCGATATAAAAATTAAAAAGAAATGAAAATAATTACAAGGCCACCTATTCCACTAAAAAATTCTAAACATCGGATATGCTGTAACGATTTTGATAAATAATTCATCTCTAATTATCTACAAAAAATCGCATTGGTGGTATCAATAACAATTAACTTGAGATGGGCAAATTATGCAAATTGGTCGAAGGTTAGTTTCTCATTCGATTTTTTTTTTTAAACCGACA